CGCGGCCGCCGCTCCGCCTCCGACCGTGCGCGCTGCGTGTCCCCGCCCCTGCTGGCGCCCCCGTGCAAGTGGGAGCCAGCGCGCATGCGCCTGCGCACACGCATGCGCTCCAAGGTCCCTAGCGGGTCCGGGGGAACCTGTGCCTCTGGCGCCCTCTGCTGGCGGCCGCCCAGAGGGCAATGGCGTGCAGGTAACCTGGTGTGTCGCCTCACCCTTCCTAAACCAGGGGACCTGGTTGAAAAATCTCCTTTCATCCCTTTCATGGTTTCTCACTTAACGGGTTTGAGTCTCCGACAGGTTATAAGGATGAAGTAGTGTATCGCTCAAACAGCATGGGTCTGAGTTCAAATCTAACCTCAAGTATCAATATGGGGTTGATGCAGATCGTTAACTCTTGAAGTTTTCATTTTCTTCCAGGAAAAAGGGATTATTTTCTAGAAGATGTACTGTCGTTCCACTTGGTGAGGTGGAGGGGCCACATCAAGAGCATCCGCAGAACCCAACCATCATGCCCTTACTTTAATTTTAGAGGGTTTGGTTTGGTTTGGTTTGGTTTTTGGTTTTTCGAGACGGAGTTTCTCTGTGTAGCCGGAACAGTCTTGGAACTCTCTCTCTTGACCAAGCTAGCCTTGAACTCAGAGTTCCTCCTGCATTCTGCCTCCCGGATGTGCTGGACCACCACCGCTGGCTACTTTAATTCTAAACATCCTTGCTCTCCTGTCTTTGTTTCTGCCTTTTTTTTTTCTCTCATCTCACCAGTGTACTTTACCCAAGATGAATCCTCCTCCTGCCCTTCCTCTCTGAATCAGCCAGCTACAGGTAGCAAGAGGAGAGGTAAGTGGCGCCCTCTCGTGTTACAAGTGAGCGGCAAGTGGCGCCCTCTCGTGTTAGAGTTGGTGTGCAGGCTTGGGATACTGGGACTCTCAGCCGTATGAGTTAGAGCTCCTTGGGTCTAGAGTTGCAGCTCTTAGTCATACCTGGGGTTGACCTACAGGTCCTAAGTATTGGGATTCCTCAGGCCTTGGTGGCAGCCAGTGTTAAAGCAAGTTGCTTGACACTCTTGGCCCTGGAGACCTGGCAAGTCTCTCAAATTCTTCTTGTGACCAGGGCCTGCAGGTTCTCTGGTACTTCATCACTGCGGCTCTTCACCTCCTGCGTCTGCTGCCTTCTGCTTCCCTCACCCTGGCCATTCTCGAACTGCTCCGTCACTCTTCTATCTGCTGCCTCTGTTTCCGTCCACACAACTGAAAGTGGGTGAGAAAAGAGCACTTGAGAGAAGTCCCTTGTTAGGTCTGCTGTTGTGGCCCTCAGAGGAACGCACAGCAGGGGGTCTCCCAGGCCAGAGCAGCCTGCTTCTGTAGCTCAAAATGGGATGTGTGGCTTCATCACAGCTTTTTTGTTTTGGCCAAGCCCAGCCTTAGGTTGGGCTAATCACAGCTTTGCCTCTTAGCCCCAATCACAGCCATCCCTCTACTAGCCCACAAGAAGTGCTTGCTCTCTGGCCTAGGAAGACATAATTGCAGGTTCGTTTGAAGTTCTTCAAGGCTCAGGATCGCAAAGTATCAGGTACAAAATATTTCAAACAGCCTTCGCTGGAGCCGAGCAGTCAGGAGTTGGGACGGTCACCTGCAATCTTTGCATAGTTGTTTCAGGGTGTCCGTGGAATGCTTAGGACTGTTGCTGCGGGTGTAAGAGTAGTCCGGCTGGTTGTTCAGGGCGTCCAGGGCTGCAAGGGACAGTTCAGTAGCTGATAATAGGTGTCAGGTTGTCCGATTCCTAGCATCTTTGCTGGTTTATACGAAAATGAGCGTCGGAAAGGGTGCTCACATAACACACGGAAAGAGCTCATCACCCAGAGTGACTCCAGCAGATTGAAAAGTTCTTTAGCATACAGCTTGCCTGCTTGTGGTCAAGTAGGTCCATCTCTCACTTATCTCGTGTTATCATTTCCACGCTAATAATGACGGACTCTTCCATTTACCTTGTGCTCTCACCTGAAAACCCACTCCCAAATTCTAGGTAACTGTGTCCATTTTATTTTCTTCTAAATTCAGCCTTTTGAGTGCAAAGCCATCTTTACCATCTCCAAGTCAAATGTCTTTCTACAGTGGACTTCTTTAGTCTCCCTGTCCCTGATCACAAAACATGGAAGAATTTTTTTTTTTTTTTTCAGGCTAGACATCTAGAGAGGTTTCTGTTCCCCCCACATTCCTCAGGTCTCTAAGTGGTTTGGAGTATGAGGGGTTTTTTTTTTTCCCTTGTTTTTTATTGTAGTGTGGCTTCAATATGTTTGGACTCAGATTCCTGTTCCTCCTGCCTCCGCCTCCACAGTGCTGGGATTACAGGCATGCACCAACTATGCCCAACTCCTTAAGAACTAGTTCCCATTTAGTTAGCTCTTGGTGCACAACGGGTGACCACAGGTGTAGCAGTTTAGAACGTACATGCTTCTGGCTGGAGAGATGGCTCAGAGGTTAAGAGCCCTGGCTGTTCTTCCCAAGGTCCCCAAGTTCAATTCCCAGCAACCACATGCTGGCTCACACCCATCTATAATGAGATCTGGTGCTCTCTTCTGGCCTGCAGACAGAAACACTGTATACATAGTAAATAAATAAATCTTTAAAAAAAAAAATCTTGGGGCTGAAGTGATGGCTCAGTGGTTAAGGGTACCAACTGCTCTACCAGAGGACCCGGGTTCAATTCCCAGCACCCACATGGCAGCTAACAACTGTCTGTAACTCTAAGATCCGACACCCTCACACAGACATACATGCATACACCAATGCACATAAAATAATGATAAATAAATTGTTTATAAAAAATAAAAAAAAAAACACCTATGTTTCTCATCTTGCGGTTTTCATCAGTTAGCAGCCTAAGCTAACTTGGGTCTCAGAGTCTTGGCAGGCCTCAGCAGAAGTGACAGACACACTGTGTTTCCATCTGGAACATGACTAAGGAGGAATCCCACTTCAGGCTCTAATATTAGCAGGAAATGATTTCCTGGGATCTTTATGAGCAAGGCATGGCCATCTTTTTGCCAGCTGTGGTCTAGAAGCCATATTCTGGTCTTAGAAGATTGCCCACAGTTCCATGCCAAGGGTCTCACTTTTAGAATTCCAAGCTACTCCCCCAGCTACATGACTGTGCATGCGCTGTCCAGTAGCCAGGCAAGATGCTTAGTCATCCTAGGGCCTTAAGTCCTATGTAATCTGTGCACTGCATGATCGCGTAATCTATGTGCATGTGTGGTGTAGCTATGTAAGCCCGTATGCGCATGTGAGGCAGGGGGTGGGGGACATAGACCTATAAAATCAGGTTCCACCTATTCCTCCTCTGTCTTCCTGCAGGGTCATTCCATAGGCCTATGCACACCCTTTCTATTCCCTTTCCTTAGTAAATTCTTATAGTGGGTTTTGTTGAGCCTCATGGCTTCTCCCATACACTCATCAAGATGGCTGCTCTCTTAATTTAGCAAAGATACAGTCCCCTCCCAGCACACCTTGGTTCCTCTGTTAAGGACTCATCCCATTCATTTGGGCTCATCTGAGACCTGACACCTAAATCAAGTGAGTTAGGACCTTCTTTATGTCTCCAGATCCTCTTGTCTTCACTCTATGCATTAGTTAAAGCGATCCACAACCACAAGAATTATAGAAGTGTAGGACTCCCAGAGCGACAGAGTCTGTGCCGCAGGCCCCTTGACATGTGTCAGGCGCATGTGGTCTTCCGAATTCCTCTGGCATCTATCTGGAATCTAATATGATGGCATACGTCTTCTAGCGTGACTATCAATCCATGTATGTGTTCATCCTCCCTAGCAAAAGTGATAAACTGAGCACTGTGAGTCTTTTTTATTGTACAGAAGTTCCTTCAGGATGGTAGGTAGGCACATCATAAACATGTATCAAATATTTAAGGGTTAAAAGAGATCAAAGACTTAATTTACTAAAGCATTTTTCCTGGGTAAATCCGGTGACCACAGAGTCATGAGAGAGATGGAGGAACGGAGTGATGGAGAGCAGGGACCCTGGAGCCACGCTGCCTGGGTTCGAGTGCAGCCCCGCCACTCTTTCTGAGACCTTAGACAAGTTGCTTCTTCTTTTTTCGTGCCTCAGTTCCCTCATCCGTAGCATAGATGTAACACTGTTTTCTCCTGCCGAGAGTTCTTAGACGGTGGAGGTAAGTTAATATTTGCAAAGCCTTTCCAACTGTACCCATCTCATAGCAGCATTATGTTTGTTGATTAAAAATTAAAAGCCTCTACTGAGCCAGACACTGTGCTGGGAGCCAGAGCACACAGGTGAGTAGAACCACATCTCTGTGCTCATCACACAGTTCAAAGGCCGGGTAAGTTTTTTTTTTTTTTTCTTTTTTCTTTTATCCACCATTTCATTAACTAAGAGCAAGAGCAAGAACGTGTCTTACCATTACCTTAAACAAACTGACATTCAACAATTTAGTTACTATTGGAAAAATCTTGTGTAAAGAGGCCCGGAGAGTTGGCCCAGTCTGTCAAATGTTTG